TTCACACCTACGGTCAAACAACCTAATTAACGTAACCCCAATCTGTACGTCCATGGACTGGAAGGAAGCCACAGTTAGCGGAGACAACCCACACAGACACGGGGAGAACATGTTAACTTCACACAGAAAGATCTCAGCCAAACTGGGATTCGAAACGGGAACCTTCTTGCTGATCCTCTTATTTGATATCCTCACTAAAATATGTAGTGTATGTACCATTAGTATACTGTATGTTCGCTTGTTGTATGTATGTTTTAATTTTCTGTCATCAATGACTGTTTGTGTCTGAAATTGGAACTTTTTTCCCAAAACTTTGAACTGTCTCAGTGTCAGTGTCATATTTAAAGCATCCAGCTAAGCAGTTCAGATTTGCACGGCAGCCCGGTTTCATTGCACAGCTTGGTACCTTTTTGAATGGACATGTGTAGTGAGCAAAAATTGAATGAGATTAGTAAGGTAATAAATACAATGACATTGGAAGCCCATGGGCGGTGCACTGAAAGCACGGCAGTTCCGCGGGAGGGAGCCCAATTACAATATAATTTCATTTCTGCGTATACTTGACATACAGAGTGATACATAACTGAAATGGGCCTATTAGCTCTTCACATTGAACTTCCCGTGTTGGCGAGAAGACTTAACAAATTGGTATAGAAAGAAAAATGATAATAATCCAATAAGAATGTGCAAGAGGTTGTGAAGAAGAGCAGTATATCTTTGAATAAGAAAATTAAAATGATTATTCAAGACTTTTAGACTGTGAATATAGCAGCCTCTGGGGGGCGTTAACAATGCTTTAGACTTTTAGTGTCAATCTAGATAGAAAAATGTAATTAATAGAAATTGCCCTGTTTTCAGCAACCTCTTTATTTAAATTGCAAGCCTGTTCTTTATAGGTATTTATACTGTACCTCAGATTTCATATTTTTCTTTTCATAAGACCTTCAAAAGCATATAGTATTTTGTTGTTAATTTCTCAGAAGATGTTTCGTACGGTGCAGTGAAAGCTCATGTCTAAAAGTTACAATTATTTACAATCCATAATCCTCAAGGTTACTTCACAAATGCTGCATGATCAGATTGACTTCACTCCTATCATCAAAACACATCCTTTAGTCTTCAGGAGACACTAACCATCTGCTGAGGCTAGTTTCCATTTTTGACAGCACCTCTACTTTGCTTGATGAAGTTAGTGAGTCATATATACATATATACAGAAAAATTAAATGTTTCCTCTCTTCCGTCACGTTTCCTTATATATATAAAAAGGGCAATAACCTCCCTGTGATTTTTTGAGATCTCTCATCATCGCCAGTGAAATTATATCTGTCCTTTAGTTTATTCCTTTCACCTCTCTGGTCATTTAGGATCCAACGGTAGCTTTGGGCAGTGTTCGTTTTAATACCTCTTTTTATGTCTCTGGGATTTTTTTTCTCTTTTTCATCCCACCACACCCCTCCCTCCTTCTTTCTCCTCTGTTCACAGAAATATGTTCAGTGACCCACTGCAGTCATTCTGTTCAGACCTAAAAATTACTCTGCAGATGCATGTTCCCGTCTCAGTAGTCAAACAGTCAGATGACTCTGAACCACGTTTTAGCTCTGGACTGTGAATCTGTGAATAGTGCAGGCTTTTTGCCTCGATGGTTTGCAGAGGATATGGAGAATAATTATAGCACAAACATCGTTTTGATGTTGTGTTGTTGCCTCTCTTTGTATAATGCACTTCTCTTCTGAAATATGGAATAAAAATCATCCTGATCAGAAAATGCTGTAGATGCAGAACCCTATCAATAGGGGATAATGGCTTTTACCATGACTCATACAACACAGGAAGACTAAGAGGCCCTATCCTATCTTTTGGTCGTATTATGCTTTCATGATTTCCTGAAATACACTTTTCTGAAGGATTTTCTGTAATCATGACATTGAAGGTCGCAGGTATCATCAGATGTTTTTTAGTTTTTTTAAACTTCCCTCCATGTGTTGCTCACCACTCCTCTGTTGTCTCCGAGCCATTCATTTCCCTGTCTTCTGCCCCTATCTTTACTTAGAGGTTGATGACTCTCCTCGCAGTTCCTTGGCCGTTACCTAAAGCAAGTGTTGAATATGCATGAGTTCAGCCTCATAAACTGCTGCTCTCAGCGCTAAAGTCAGTAGGAAGCCCAACTCAGCAGATGGGGGAGGGGGTGGAATCAGGACGAAAACTTGCTGTGGAGAAGGAGAGGAGGAGGGAACTCGTTTGACTTATCTTCAATGGTGGAAGATAAACCAAATCTCCTCTCTTCATGTTGCCCTTGCAAAAGGAGGGATGGGTGGTGCTAACGCGAGCTAACATGCTAGCACACACACTCTTGCGCACGTGCTTGCGGTGACTTTGCCTCATGTTTTCACGTGCGCGTGCATGTGGTTGTTTGTGCACTTGAATGTGGAAGAGCCCGGATTTTGTGTATGCAAGTGCTTTTGTGAGTGTCTGTCCATATCATTTTGCCTGAAGCTCTGGACAGTTGCCAGGCAACTGTGGCAGGCAGCTCAGCGCTCGGCTGGGCAGCTGCGGCGCAGACACTTCCACATGCCTATGGTTTTGATAAGAGGCACAGGTCAGCGCTGATACGCTACCAGGTCAGAGTCACATCAGGCTAAGAGCCAGTCAATTGCTGGGATGATCCAAGGATAATACAATTACACAGAAACATGCAAACTATATCTTGATTACTGGGAGTGTAATCCCTTTAAAGTAATTTCTGGTGTGACATTGATGTGATTTAAACTAACAAGATTTCTATGGATACTAGGCTCAGTACCAACGCATATATAGCAATAATATATAATAACACTTTCTTGAAAAAATGTAATTGTTGTTCTTCCCTTAATATGTTTTGCATTCAATATATTTTGTTAAATGTAAGAAATTATTAAGACTAAAAGATTTAAAAAATGTTCTAAAACTATTTACCAGGGGGCAATCATTCATCATCATCATTAAAACCTGCAACCTTACTGTACAACTAAGTAAATCCAAAATTATGAGCAACCACTGCATATTTTTCCCATTTATCACTGTCCAAGTTGTCCAAAAGTATGAAACATTTGTAGTTACATTCATCAAAGGATTTGGACAGTGATATATGAATCATAGTCTTGTCAGGGTAGTCCTCCAAAAAGACTTTAAAGTGCTGTTGGCGGTAGTGAAAGTACAGTGAAGAGTGTGGAATGATACGCGTGTGTCACCGCGATGGTCTTAGGAAGGTCAATTTGGCAGGATGTCATCATTATCATCGCCATCATTATCATCGCTGCCATCACATTATCATCATTAACAATAAAACTTCATTTGCTGCTCAGCACACTTGGAAACGTGCTGACTTCTGCCTCCTACCATCTGTCTGTCTGTGTGGACTCCCTCTACTGTATTTTACGTCCGTCCTTTAGATGATGTTGGTGATTCAGCCACTTATGTGTCTTTTACAACTCCCACACAAGGAAACATTGTGAATAATAATCACTGTATTCACCATGACCATAGATGTCTGTTTATACCATATAGAGTTTATGCAGACACACTGACCATTACATCAGGACCTTGTGTATAGTGGTATATCTTGTTTATACTATGTTTTACTGTACATATCCCAGCTGGAGTAAACATTTACTATTCAGCCACTCATCCCATGTGGGTAACATTGTTTCACTGTAAAGAGCTGCACTGTATGTGTTTGGTAATGTCTGCACTCCACATTTTAAATTATTACTGAATATAAAACGATTCACTTCATACTGCACATGTACTGATTCCCTCTGTAAAGCAGCAACTATCCTAAGCTAAGATGAAATAACATCAAGTTGTAGCCTTTGCATAATTAGAAAAAAAAATTAAGGTCACCTATCTATCTTAGGTTTGGGTTTAAAAACAGTCATATTAACATTGGACATAATGACATGAGTCGTAGTCAGACTATGCTGTGTAACATGTCAACAGGGATATGAATGGAATATTCCATTAGCATCTCATGTAAACACCATAATCGAAATAGTGTCTTATTCTGAATGTGATCAGTCTTGATATTGGGGTCCATGTAACGGCAGTCATTGTGTTCCCTGGTTTCAGTTTAAACTTTATGTAAATATGTATGACATGACATGTCCTCAAAAGTGAAGCCAAATCGTCTTAAGTATATCCTGGATACTGAAGACGATGTTCCTATCCAGGATATTTTGGCTTCATTTCCAAATAGGAAGCTGAGACATGTCCATCTTTATTCACAATCTATACTGGGAACATTTTATCAATACACAAAATCATTAAAACAGATGTTTTTTAAGCAGCAGGAGTGTTTTCTGTTACTGTGAAAATCAGGAGATAGCTGGTCTTCTTAAAGATGCCATGTTTTCTTTGTTTTCCATCACACCCTCCACCCCTACAATGACTATTCTGAAGAGTTTGTAGTTAACTGAAATCATTTTACATATCTTTCTGTTTTAAATGGAATAATTTATACGTTTGTTGCATGGTGAAATAGCTTGGCGCTGCTTGAAACGTGTGTAATCTACTGTGATGCACTCTTGTAAGAACAAAGAATTCCTCTATGTGTGTTGTGCATGTGTGACATTTTGTTCAGTTTATTTTATCTTGTTGTGGGTGTGCACCTACCGTGTAAATGTGTATCCTGGAAGTAGGTGAAACATGCCTTCTGTTGCTCTCTGCTGACAGGTTCTCTTAACTCTGTTGTATTTCCAGTGTGGGTATTAAAAATGAGTAATTTGGCAAGTTTTCTGTGTGAAATCTCTTCACACTTGCATCGAGTTGGAGGCCGACAAGTTCCTGACAATGACAGGATGCCATCTCCTGTTTATGTGTGATATTTTTTAAAAAGGCAATAAACGCTCAGGATTATGTTATCCCATGCCCCTGGATTTATGCCCTGCTCCTCCGTTTGCTCATAAATCTGTGTTTTCTCTCCCTTTTTTCCCTCTCTGTGTTTGTTCTAATTTACCCTGCAGGGTTTCTGAGCACAGGGGACCAGTCTGCTAAGGGGAACTATGGCTTGTTGGACCAGATCCAAGCGCTGCGCTGGCTCAACGAAAACATTGGCCACTTTGGAGGAGACCCAGAGAGAATCACAATCTTTGGCTCTGGAGCCGGTGCCGCCTGTGTGAACCTCCTCATCCTCTCGCACCACTCCGAGGGTAAGGTTCATTCATTGTTGTTGTCACTTCAGTCGTCATATAGCCCAGCTCAAAGGGGATTAGCATTTCAGGACACTGTGGGTAGTGTATTTTGAGTAGGTTAGCACTTTCAATGAACAGCCTCAACCAGATAAAGGTATGTGACAATATTATTTCCCCAAGTGAAGGGATTCAATATTTAAAGAATGATCCATCTACTAAATGCAGTGATGTTGTTTTTCTCCCCAATATATGTGAAAAACTGCATAGATTGAGTAATCTGAAAGAAAGTCAATCTGGACTGAGGATGGAGTGGATGCTGTAAAATCTGTGCAATAATAGTAAACACACAATTTCTAATGGGGCCAATCAATAAACTACATGGACAAAACATTCCTTCTTCAATTTTCTTTCTCCAATAAAGTAAAAAAAAATCTAAATAAATATGAATATAAGTATACCATCATTGGGCCGCCCTCAAGGCAGCATTCGGGAACAAGAACAATACAATATGCTACTTAGTAAAGTTGTAATTTAATGAGAAAAAAGTGCAGATGAGCTAGAATTATTTTGTTGTTTGTAAAAACTCTTCTAAAGTATAACTAAAAAAGATGCTCCACATTCCTCATTTTAACACAGGCGATGGTTTGATCAACTCTTGTTATGCCCTCACTTTTGAGTTGCCCCATGAGGCGAACATGTTAAAGCACTGACTACCTTTGACACGAACCGACAGAAACCATTTTAAACAGCCCAAACCATAGGATTTATTAACATCAAACAACACAATAAACACAAAGTTAAAGGGATAGTTCACACATTATCTACTCACCACTATGCCGATGGAGGGGCGGGTGAAGTGTTTGAGTCCAATAAACACTTTTGGAGTCTCAGGGGTAAACAGTGTTGCAGCCAAATTCAATACAATTGAAGTAAAGGTCTTCTTCAGACGTAAAAAACAACAGAAAAAAAACATAACATGCCTCCATACTGTTTGTGTGGTGTCATCCAAGTGTCCGCAAGCCTGATCATTGATATTCAACTCGAAACAGCATCACTCACACCATGTTTTAAGCCTAAAGGTCCTCTGATAGCCTTCTTAGAGGCGCATTCACATTCTCACGGACACTGGAAAACTGCAAACACTCACCCAAGGTTTCAAAGGACCTCAGGTCCCTGGCCCGGAGCACCTCATTGATGACTGATTAGTTTAATCAGGGTGGAGCTAGAGGAGAGACAAGAGAAAAACAGGGACAAAGAGCAGGAACACATACAGCCATAACAACTCTGAAATAACATGTAGACTTTATTCTACTTGTGACTATATTATTGTAAAATCCCAACTTAATTCTTGCTAATTTTCAACTCTTTTCTTGTAAAATTATCAATCAATCAAATATCTATTTGAAATCTCTAAAAAAAATTGTCATAATGTGACTGAGTATTGTGGCTATGTTGAAATTAGCAATTAGCCTGACAGACTTTGTAGTGTTAAAAACAAGTTTTAAATATTACATCAAAACTTGTTGACAAATTTGCTTCATTAGTTTTGAATTCCTTTAACAAGAATTTGGTATGTTTGGCCCAATGGTTAGGTCAACACACATGTTAACAACTCCAGATTATCATTATACTTTGTTATACATATGTAGATTTGTAGAAAAAATCCCCCTCTGCTCGATTTTTAAGGCTGTAACACTACAAAGTGCTAATAAAGTTGGAGGGTGAAGAGTTTTTTAAAAGGTACTCTGTGTGTGTGAGTGTGTGTGTGTGTGTAAGTGTGTGAGTGTGTGTGTGTGTGTGCGTGTGTGCGCGCACACGCCTGTGTGTGTGTGTGTGTGTGTGTGTGTGCAAAGGAGAAATGAGATGAGCAGTGGAGCTGGAGCTGCAGCTGAGAGGCTTCTTAATTGATTTCACAGGGAGAGGAGCGGGGGTGGGGCACATGCAGAATATGGGGGGGCTTAATTATTAATGACAGAATCTGCAGATAAAACAGAGGGACAGCAAGCCACTTTACATAACAGTGCAGCGGTGCAACAGTGCGAGCAGTTTTCTTTCTCTCTCTGTCTCTTTTTCTGTCTGTCTCTCTTTATCCAACGACAGCCATCAAGGTTCTCCACTCTGTGCAGCGTTTTCATCATTTCTCTGGTTGTATGTAATGGAAGCACTTGATTTTCCTACACTAATATTCATAAAGACTTTCTCCGGCTATGAAAAGCAGCAGGATACCTGCTTCATCTTGCTTTGTATGTACTGTAATACTCTACAATCGCTCCTCCTCCAACATATGCATTATTGAGAGCTCTCACGCTGCAAAGCCTTGAAGGCCCCATCAGCTGCTAGCAAAAGTGTGTCAGAGGGAAGAAAGCTTAGTTAAACTGAGAGAGAACAAGTGACCATAGCTTCCCTGTTCATGCTTTATCTGCTGTTTATGGTCCTGCTCGTCCGTAGGCCTGTTCCAGAGGGCCATCGCTCAAAGTGGCTCCGCCATCTCCAGCTGGTCAGTCAACTACCGACCGCTGATGTACACAAAGATCCTGGCGAGGAAGGTTGGCTGCACTCTGGGGGACATGGCCGACTTAGTGGACTGCTTGCGGAGGAAGAGTTTCCGGGAGCTGGTGGACCAAGACATCCAGCCTGCACGCTATCACATCGCCTTCGGACCCGTGGTGGACGGAGACGTGGTGCCAGATGACCCTGAGATCCTCATGCAGCAGGTCAGAGCTGCTTTCTCTTTGTATCATCCACTGAATAACTGTTTTGCCTTTTCTGTTTATCATTTCCTTGCTGTTGGCATGTGAATACAGTTCTGCCCTGACTTCTGCTAATTAGAGTTAATGACTGTAGCATTCTGTTTTGTGATGGCGTGCTGTGTGTGTTTGTCGTGACACCAGGGCGAGTTTCTCAACTACGACATATTGCTGGGCGTCAACCAGGGAGAGGGCCTGAAGTTTGTGGATGACAGCGAAGGAGAAGATGGAATCTCAGCAGCATCATTTGACTACACCATCTCTAACTTTGTGGACAATCTGTATGGATACCCTGATGGTTAGATCTGGTTTTACCTTCACATTATTCACTGATTTAAAGATTACACATGCTCTTTTAGACCTGCCAATGAGAAGTCTTAAAGATGACGCTCAGACAAAAGGGCGGTGTTGAGAGTCTTGTCAGGCCCCTACAACCTTCATGGTGAGATTCATCGGTCATCACTCTGTTTCCTCTTCGTTGTCTGATGCTTTCAGGGCTGAACAGAGTTGGTGAAAGTCTTTTTCTCAGACCCACACATTCAAGAATCTGAGGAAAACTTCTGAAATCAACCAAATTTTACACAGAAAAGGTTTCAAAATCGGATTAATGAAAAGTTGCATTTGCATAAATATTCATGAAAGCCTGTCTATTTTAGAAGGTCGGCTTGCTACATCTCTTTTTCTCAACAGTGTTGCAGTGATTGCAGTCGAATTACAGATGTATGTTTTTTCAAAAGTAAATAAAGTTGAACAAATAAAGATGTGGCAGGTTTGATATTAGCATTGCCGTTTTTTTCTCTTTGCTGTAGAGTAGATTTATTTTTCAGGGACAGTTATGTAACGCGCTCCTTCAATGATTTACTGCTGTAAGTAGACAAACTAATAGGCTACACTAGCCTGCTAATGTCATTTGACAACAGCAGTTCTCATGTCCCCTGCTTCAAAGTCATGGATTGTACAGATACTATTTGAATATTGATTTGCTTTGATGGGATCACCTGTAGGACATTAGATAGCATTGATTTTATAATATAAAGCAGTGTTCACAGTAACAATGTTTATGATGCTTTCCGAGCAACGGCTCTGGTCTGACTTTATTGGTGCAGTTACAGGACTCACACGTATGTGCTGAGTACCAACCCAAATGCTTCTCATACACTTTGAATGAGATGATGCAGGCATTGCCAAATGGTAGCAACGCAAGCATCAGCCAATCAAATCCTGTCAAAACAAACACTTAAGTGAAGGCGAATCACAAAAGAGGAGGCAGAGGCAGTGGTTGTTGATTAAATTTGCTGTATACTTTTCGTTGCATTGAAGGCAAGCATGGCATGTTTGCTCAGACACATGTTGTGTCCCAACCATGAAACTGTAAACTGGAACACGCCCATCATCAAGCGTTAACACAACACATAAGTGAGTGCAGCATGAAGCTGAAGAGTAGTACATAAACAGAAAGTTTTTTAAAAATCCAACAACACACCATCCCCATGTCTTAGATAACCACTCACCCCATGAATATTTAGAGTACATACTCATGTTCCTTCTGGTTTCTTCCCAGGTAAGGATATCCTGAGGGAAACCATAAAATTCATGTACACTGACTGGGCTGACAGGGACAACAGTGACATGCGGAGAAAGACCCTCCTGGCTCTGTTTACCGACCATCAGTGGGTGGCCCCAGCTGTCGCCACTGCCAAGCTGCACGCCGAGTTCCAGTCGCCTGTCTACTTCTACACCTTCCACCACCACTGTCAGACCGAGGCCAGGCCAGAATGGGCAGACGCAGCCCACGGAGATGAGATCCCATATGTGTTTGGGATTCCCATGGTGGGAGCCACTGACCTGTTTCCCTGTAACTTCTCGAAGAACGATGTAATGCTCAGTGCTGTAGTCATGACTTACTGGACCAACTTCGCCAAGACAGGGTTAGTAAAGTGGATTTATCAGATTTCTAACAATTTAAAGTACACAGTGTGCACACGCACGCATGGATCACAGTGGTGACCCTTTAGAACTTTATCCCACTAGTTAAATTAGTAGTTAAGTGAGTTTTTGGCAAAATGAGCCCAAGACAGAGCACAGAGATTCCACACATCTTGGTTCACTTTGGCTATAATACTCATGTAAAACACGTATTTCTTCTAAATTCCACAACAGATTTTCTATCCGCTTACTCGTCTCAAACAGTGTATATGCACTGTGTTGTGGTTTATTAGATTGTTGTAAAAACACAGAAAATGCTAAGTTATGAATTCAGAGATAATTATCATCCCTAAGACAAAAATGTGAGTCTCACCTCTTTTCCCCTGTTCCAGGGATCCTAACCTACCAGTTCCTCAGGACACCACCTTCATCCACACCAAGCCCAACCGCTTTGAGGAGGTCATCTGGACCAAGTTCAGCTCCAAAGATAAGCAGTACCTGCATATCGGCCTGAAGCCTCGTGTCAGAGACAACTACCGGGCCAACAAGGTGGCCTTCTGGCTGGAGCTGGTGCCACACCTCCACAGCCTCCATGAGGAAATCATTAGCTCCTTTACAACTCCACCTGGAGGCCCCAATCGCTGGAAGGGCCCTCAAAATCCTGGTACCCGCTCCACACGACACCCTGTAATCTCCACCTATCCTCCTGATCCTGAGCCTGATGGTTCAGAGAGACCCCGCTCTCCTCCCTTCCCCAGTGCAACCAGGGACTACTCCACCGAGCTGAGTGTGACGGTAGCTGTGGGCGCCTCGCTTCTTTTCCTGAACGTACTGGCCTTCGCTGCGCTTTACTACAAACGGGACAAGCGCCACGAACTCATGCAGAGACGCCACAGACGACTCTCCCCACAACGAGGCACGACCATGGGCATGGGTGTTGGAATGGGAGTAGTAGGGTCCCCGCCGCACAATGACCTGGCGCTAAGCCAGGAGGAGGAGCTGATGTCACTGCAGATGAAGCAGCAAAGAGTGGAGCTGGAGCACGGCACACCCCTCCCGTCCCGCGGTGTCCTCGGCGACCTGGAGCCCCTGCGGCCCCCAGTGTGCCCGCCTGACTACACGCTGGCCCTGCGGCGAGCACCGGAGGATGTGCCACTGATGACGGCCAACACCATCACCATGATCCCGAGCACCATCAGCAGCATGCAGCCTCTCCACCCTTTCAACACCTATCCCCCTGTCCCAGCCCCCTCCACTACACCCGTCCCCAGCCACAGCAACAATGCCCTGCCACACCAACACTCCACCACCCGTGTATAGGACCAGGCACAACCTCTGCTACCCCACTCTGGGCTTACAGAGACACACCACACAAACTGTTCCATACACACTTCACTCTCGCCGCCCTCTCTTTCTCTACTATATCTCTGTCTTTTTCGCATCGAGCCCTCAGATAAAGCTGCAGTTTGTAAGATGTGAAGCAGTGAAATACCTCTAAAATGTTATCATGAATCAAGGAGCTGATTTTTAAAAACACTTTGCCAAAAGCCTGTCATCATAGGTACATACTGTTTTGCCCTGTTAACACCCTTTCAGTATCTGGTGCTTAATGTTAGCCACCAAAACAACAGCTTTAAGCTTGTAGCTCTCTCTATCACAAGCTCATCACAATCAGTCAGGCATCGTGCGTGCAGCTTGGTTGTTTTTCGCGCATGTGTAGCCGCGTCAGTGTAAAACTAAGTTTAACATAGAATACAAATAGTCATTTTCATTCGTTTAGTGCAGAGATATTACAGTAGCGAGCAGCTTTGTGTGAGGCGACATATGCTCCGACAAGCTGTCTGTCATAAAGCGGTGATTTCTAGAAACTTACAAATTGCAGCTTTAAAGGCCCAATCTGGAAGTGAGGTTTGGCACCCTGTGTCGAACGCAATGTCCCGACAGCTGTCTCTGTGATCTGATTTCGGGGAGAATTTACTTAGTGTGAAATGTATGGACAGGCCAGGGTGTGAGAGGATGAACGCTATATGCAAAGAACGAGTTTCTCATTTTAATTTGAAAACTTAATTTCCTCTATTTACAAGCGTGTGTTGCTGTTCTCAGTTATGATGCGAGCTAAAGGCCAAAATCCAAAAGTTCTGCTTTTTAAAAATCTGCACACACAGAGCTGATGCTTTCAGAACATTTCCAGATTGGGGCTTCAACTGACGGGCGGTACAGGAAATAACTGAATCATACTCGGTCTGCGGGACGCAACCTGGAATCCAGGCTGCCCATTAGAACTCGCTGCATCTCCGCCACACAGGCTCTAATCATGGCCATTACTTTATTTGTTTCTCTCTCATTATCTCTCTGTCTGTATCCCCCATCTCAGCTCATTTAACTGCTTCTCTCTCCATCTCTCCGTCTGCATCCTCCCTTAGTAGCTCTTTTTATTAAACCATCGCCATAATCCACTTTCATCTCCACCTCTCCCCTCTTTCTCACAATCACTTCTAGACTCTTTTTTCCTTTTGGAGTCTTTTATACAAAAACACAAATGTAAATGATGTATTATTAATAAATTGTAAGGATATGAATGAAAAAAAAAGATATTCTGATATCTCGTTTTTACCAGCATTCTTGGTGCCAAGTACTGTGATAAAGTTCCTCTTTCACTGGCGTCCAGTGGACCGCCTGGAGAGGTCCGTTCTGACTGTATCTTACAAAAGGAATTACCATCATAAAAAGTGCCAACCCCCCCCTCATCTTTCTTTTGGATCCACACAGGTTTTATTTTATTTTAATTACACTCAATGTTGCACTGTGGCTGGTCTCTTCTTTAAAGGGAAATCAGATCAAATCAATATATCCTCATTTAAAAAAGAAGAATATAAAGTTTTATTAACTACTTTGCTGTCTGGGATATATTTGCATGATGTTTTTTTTTCCTAAAGAGTGTGGACAGAGAACTTTGTTTGTCGTTCTGATGATTTGCCTTGTTTTTCATTAATCTCTTTTTTATTATTATTTTGAAAATCATTTTCATATTCTATTTTAATATCAACTGCAC